AGGCTGGGGAAGGCCGTGCGATGTGTTGTCATTGCCCAAATCTCCCCTGCACCACACGGCCAGCTTCCTCTTTCTCATCCTGGCAAGTTCTTTGTTTCCACAACACACACAAAGATCAGGCTGAGTGAGCCTGAATCCAGCACAGCCCATCATTACAACGTTCAGACAATTATTCCAAGCCACACAATATAATTTGGGACTCTCTATTGGCTAAATTAGTAAACTGAAGGACTATGAAAGGGAGGGGAGGGGAAATGCAAGGAGTCTTTGAAGAGAAAGAATTAGACATGGATGCAGCATTCCATCAGTTGGCACTGCTATGAAATCTCATCAGAAGGATATGAGAAGGGAGACAGCCCTTCACCTCCTTCCCCCCTTATTTTATCTCTTATTCTGCATTCTGCTCCTCCACACCCCACTCTTCTCCCCTCTCTCTGCCAGCACACCAAGATCTGCAACAGACGCCTTGCTATCGGTTGCCACCTTATGCCCTGAGTATGAGACCTCGGTGCGTGACAAAAACCTGCCTTGCATCTGCATGATCATCTTTTGATGCCTATTACCATCCCTTGATGAAGGGACGCGGGTGGCACTGTGGTCTAAACCACTGAGCCTTGGGCTTGCCGATCAGAAGGTCGGCAGTTCGAATCCCCACGATGGGGTGCGCTCCCATTGCTCGGTCCCAGCTCCTGCCAACCTAGCAGTTCGAAAGCACGCCAAAAAGTGCAAGTAGATTAATAGGTACTGCTCCGGTGAGAAGGTAAACGGCATTTCCGTGCACTGCTCTGGTTTTTGTGTTCCGTTGCACCAGAAGCAGCTTAGTCATGCTGGCCACATGACCCAGAAAAACTGTCTGTGGACAAACAATGGCTCCCTCAGTCTGTAAAGCGAGATGAGCGCCGCAACCCCAGAGTCATTCATGACTGGACTTAACTGTCAGGGGTCCCCTTTACCCATTTACCATCAAGGGGTGACTTGGCACATGCAAATGTTGAAGATCTGTTCTCACAAAGAGGAACTTTCATACCCTCCAAAGTGACTTAAAACAAAACAAAACTTTTCACATGCTCATGTGTATTCAGATGCAAGTGTCAGAACAGCAAGATATGCATATGGATGAGTAAACCAGCCCAAGGAAAGATCTCATTGGGAACTATTTATCTGTAACTGGGCAGGTTTAATGTTAGTCACAATCCATGGAGGAATATTTCTCGTGTTCATGGATACAAGTTCCTGGAGCCAAAATAGCCATATTTTGCATATTTGCTGAATCTTCATAGATTTATGGCACATACAGAAACCATCTAAATGCTTCTATTTGGTGTCACAAAGGCAACCCACTCTCTTACACACCCCACATAGGATCCATAGATCAGGACTAATTCTGTTGTCTCATTCTGATGACACTGCAGATGAGCCTTTTCCCACACAACATGCCTCCTTTTCAATTAACTCTCCAAGTGAAAACTAGTTAACTTGGAGAATGGAATGAGCAACACTCTAGAAATGAATCTTTTCCAGAGATAACGAGAATTCCTTACTTTATACCTTGGGAATGTTTTATAGTCGTCAACGGGAAAACCACACTGTTTTCCAATTTAGCTCCAATTGTGAAGGGCAGTGTGTATTCTATTCTGCTACTGCTCTGCAAGAACAAATGGTTTTCATTTCACAAAATGATATTGTGCTTCAAAATGCACATATGCATGTACACAAGAACCTCTTACACGAGGAATATTGGAAAGTGGAGACCTTTTTTAAATTAAAAAGAAGAAGAATGCTAAAGCCAAGAAGAGCCTCACCACTGATAAACAGAAAGCTTTGAATTCCACCAGATTACAGAGAGATGTTTACAATGTATGGGTGGCTAACAACTCTCTCTTTTTTTAAAAAAAATAATGATATTTATTAAAGTTTCAAACAAAATTACAATAAGAAAAAAGAGATAAGAAAAAGAAAAAAGAAAATACAAAAAGCAGAAAAATAAAGAACAATTAAAAAGAAATCAGTCTTTCCATATCTTGTCTTTCATTTACTTGTTTCCCTGACCTCACACCTCCCTTTTTTGCATTCCAGTTCAATTAGTTAATTCAGCAAATCCTTTCCCTCTTTTTTTATCTTAATCCTTTGTCTTGATATATTATAACTTTAGATTCACATCTATTAGCAATCCATTTTTACATACACCTTTATAACATTGCTGCTAAAACCACTTAACTTCATTCCAACATCGTTCTAACATTCATTAATTTTACAGTGTTTCTGTAGATAATCTTTAAATTTCTTCCAATCTTCTTCCACCAACTCTACTCCCTGGTCTCGGATTCTGCCAGTCATCTCCGCCAGTTCCATATAGTCTATCACCTTCATCTGCCATTCTTCCAAGGTGGGTAGTTCTTGTGTCTGCTAACAACTCTCTTCCCATGGGAACTATTAAAGAGGATCCTTTTCATTAAGGCAGCAGGTACTATTCTGCCACCACCACTCCAACTCTACAGTTCTATGATTCTTTCTCCCAAGCTCTTCTGAAACAGATGGAAGGTGAGGATGGCCCAAAGGGTCATCTAATCTTGGGCCTAGCCAGGATTTTTTTGGGGGTAGGGGGGCAGAACCTCATATTTGTATTGATTTGCATTGATTTTGATTGCCCTCCCCCACCCCTTGGCTACGCCCATGCATCTAATCCAGCACTCTGCAGTGCAAGAACCACAGCTAAAGAACCACTGAGCCTAGTGGGACTTCCTTCTGAGTAAACTGGCATAGGAATGTGTGGTGTGCCTTTTTAAAAACCTGTTTTTAACACCATGTTTTAAATCATTGCAACCCACTCTGGGTCTGTAGAGTGAAGGACAGTCATAAACTAAAACAGTAATACCACCACAACAAAAAGACGAGTTATTTTCAAGAATCAGTGGGGTATCCTGAACACAGTGATATTCTTGGACGTGGCCAGAGTGGTCCAGCTGGTGACTGGTCCAGATGTTGTTGGACTCCAACTCACATCAGCCATGCCCATTGGCCATGCTGGCTACGGCTGGTGGGAGCTGGCGTCCAATAACTTATGGAGGGCCACAGGATAGACACCTTGCTTGCATTGCCTACTTTGTAAGGTTTTTGCAAGGATAAAATGGAATCATAATATATGTGGCTCTTGGAGCTCCTTGGATGAAAGGTTAAAAGACACCTTGCATTTTTGCAATGCTTTTTTTAGTGTTTGACGTACCGTATTTTTCGCTCTATAAGACGCACCAGACCACAAGACGCACCTAGTTTTTGGAGGAGGAAAACAAGAAAAAAAATATTCTGAATCTCAGAAGCCAGAACAGCAAGAGGGATCGCTACGCAGTGAAAGCAGCGATCCCTCTTGCTGTTCTGGCTTCTGGGATAGCTGCGCAGCCTGCATTCGCTCCATAAGACGCACACACATTTCCCCTTACTTTTTAGGAGGGAAAAAGTGAGTCTTATGGAGCAAAAAATACGGTACTTTCCTTGTACTATTTCAATCCTATAGTATAAATCAGTCCTATAGATTGGGGCAGGGGGGTGAGGTTGAAAGAGTCACCAAGTGTGCTCTTGATTGAGGTGAAATTCCAACCAGAGATGTTCTGGTCGCTCTTGACGACTCAGTTGAGTCTCATAAGAGTACAACAAGCTGTGATCAGTCTTTGGTTTCTTCATTTTAGGGCAATGATGCAAAGCCTGCCATTTCACAGGTGTGGAACTAAATGTGGGAGGTTCTAGTTTGCCCCAGGCATGTGTGAGACCAGGGAGGGATTTGAAGCCATATCTCCGTGGTACAGCAGGACCCAAAAGTGGCTGGGGAAACCCAGCCAGATGGGTGGGTATAAATAATAAAATTATTATTATTCTAAAAGGAATGGAACCCCAAAGAGTGGACTTTAGACAAATACATGGAGGGCAAGGCTCTCAACAGCAACTAGCCATGATAACGAGGTTCCACCTTCACTGTCAGAGATTAATATGCCTCTGAATACCAGCTGCTGGGAATTGCAAGTGGGCAGCGTGTGCTGTTGTGCTCATGTCTTGTTTCACATCTGGACATCTGGTTGTCCACTGTAAGAAGAGGGTTTGCTTTTGCCTGATCTGGTGGGGCTCTTCTGATGTTCTTATGTGCGCTTCCAACATTACCTTTCTGCTGCATGTAAGGCTTTTGAATATTTGTCAGTGTTGATTTGAAAACACCATATCCATATCCAATCTATATCCATTTCATCCTGAGGCAAGCTGTTTAGCATGATGTTTTTATTTACCTTCTGTGTTTTTGCACCATTTGTAAGTCAGGCTGAGACTGCTTGTAGAAGGCGCATAAGAAATCCAATAAATTCTAATACCTAAAAAGCAGCAGCAGCAGCAAGAACTGCTTTGCTGGGTCAGCCCAGAGCTCCATTCTAGTCCAGCCCTGTTTCTAAGAGTGATCAGCCACTTTCTCCTGATATCACACACATGCATATGCCTCACCATCTTCCATCTTGCCATGCAAGAAACACAACCAGAGTTCAAGAACACTTTCCAGGCAGCTAAAAAGCAGGGCTGGTAAAGGCCGCTTGGGCCAACAGAGAGACATGGAGGGCCACATTTGACCCTCAGGTTTTTTATCCCTAGTCTAAAAGCACCCTCTGATCCAGAAGGGCCTCTCCCAAGTCCTGACAGGTGACCTTTTCAAACATGGAAGGAACAGGGGGAGAGGCAGTCAGTCAACCTGGGAAAATACACTCTGCACTTGCTCAGGGACACTCTCCACTAGGGCTCTGCCCTGCACCCAAGGAACAAACCAGCTCTCCAACTTTTGCCAGGACTTGATCCCAAGCTGGCCAACCTCTCACTTTTCACTCCAGGCTCTTCAGCCACCTCCCCTGTTTTTCCCTAGCACGTTTCTTCGGGCTCTCTTCCCGCTTCGACGTGCGTCTTCCCATCGCATCCCGACGCTCAGAACCCAGGTTCCGGCGCCCAGCCCCCGCGCGCCGGTGTATCTTCCTCACCTGTCCACGGCGATGGCCGTCATGGAGTAGATGCTGGAGAAGACGGCGGCGACGGGGAAGAAGTTCTGGAAACGGCAGTAGAAGAGGCCGTAGTACCAGACGCTGTGGACGGCGTAGGTGAAATTGACCAAGGTGTTGAAGGCAGCCATGGAGGCTTCGGCGAAGGCCAGGTTGACCAGGAAATAGTTGGTGACGGTGCGCATCCGCTTGTGCGCCAGGATGATCCACATCACCACCAGGTTGCCGACCACCGAGACCAGCACGATCAGCGCGTACGCCACCGCCCAGAGCGCTACCTGCCAGCCCGGCTGCACGAACTGGTTTTCGTCGAGGGAGGCGTTCGTCGAGGCGTTGGAGCCGTTCGAGGGGGTCCCCTCCATCGCCCTCAGGGTAACTCGGGGAGCGCCAGCGGGAGCAGCATGGGGGCCGCCTCAGCAGCAGACGGGGCGGGCGGGGCGGGGGGTGGCGGCTGTGGCCCTCGCGCGGAAACTTGCGCGGGGTTTGCAGAGAGGCTGCCGCGCCCGTCGGGCAGCGGGAGGGGGCCCAGGTGTTCTCTGCAACCGGCCACTCGCCTCGCTCTCCGCGGCGCCAGGCAGCACGGAGCTCTCCTGCGGGGAGCCGCCCCGTCGAGGCTCGCTTCGGCTCTCGCACCGCCCGAGTGGAGCGCCCGGCTGCGTGGCGGCGGCGAAGCGGCTTTTTATAGCCCGGCAGCAGCGGCGGCGGCGCGTCAGGGAAGGTGGGCAGCGGAGGCGGCGCGCAGGCGGCCGGGCGCGCTCTCGCGCGGGGGATGCAGTTGCGGCAAAAGTGGAGGCGTCTGCTCGGCGAGGGCCCCCGGGGGCCCCTGAACCAGGACCGTCCAGCCTTAACTCTCGGCGCCCCGCAGTGCCTCTCCGTCCAACCCCGCGATGGGGAATTTTTTGCCAACGGAGAGCCACATGTTTTCTAGGTAACCTGCCGGGAGCCGAGGGTGAGCGGGGCCGGGGGCCAGAGGAGGAAGAGGCAGGCAGAGCCATTTGCCCTTCCTAGACTTGGATGGTTTGACACACACGCAGACCCACGCTGCTTTTAGCGTGCAAAATGTGGAGTTGTGGGGCGGGTGCAGATGAAAAGCTGATAACGTGCAGTTTGATAAATCGGAGAACTGGAGGGAACCCAAAGGGCCGCCGCAATGTAGGAATCACAGTTAAATAGCGGTAACATTGGACAGGTTAGGCATGTGTGTTTATTAACTGGTTCAGTGGCAGGCAGACGTGTCCGCAGCAGTATCCACAAAAGCGAAATAAGGGTAGAATTAAATCAAGGATTGCATAAATTATATCAGTATTAAGAATGCTTCAGACAAACTGCCCAAACTTTCTTCTCTGGGGTTGGCACTTTGGGCAGGGCAGGTTGCATCGCAGCCTCCTAAAATCCCTTAAAGCCCTTCTGGTTCTGGATCCTGAACTAAGTCGGGTCCATTAATGAATACTCACTGCATGGTGGAGCAGAACTACCACTGACAGAGGCTGGAAGCCAAAGGAGCAGAGCAGGCTTTGTGGGCCTTTGAGGTTCTTGTTTGTTTTCCTGCTGTGGGGCATCTGATGGGGAATTTGTGCAGTTTGAAAACCTGCTTTTAAAAAACCCTGACACACGCTCACCACTGCCTCATCTTTCGTCCATCCAGGCTAGCCAGCGGCATAACCAGAGTTCAAGAATTCATTCTAGCCAGGCAAAAACCTGTCAAATACAGCAGGCCGGGGGGGGGGGTCACCTGGGGAGAGTGGGTCTGGCTGGGAAGGCGTGTGGGGCAGAAAGAGTTCCTACCCTATAAAAAGCATTATTCAGAACTGTGGTTTGCCTGACCTCCTAAGGAAGATAATAACACTAAAATTCAAAACAGTAATAACCAATGGCACATTTATTCAAAATCCAATTAAGACTATTTGGTTTAATTAATTCAAACTTGTTCCAGTGAGATCAGCTTTGCAAAGTCTGATAGTCATTTACAGCTCCAGCTCATCAAACATTTCCTTGTAGGGTCTTCTGGTGTCTGTAATACTACAGATTATCTTCAAGTTGCATTCCATAAGGGGTTCAAACTCTGCAATCAGATCATTTCTGTGCTTTATGACTTGGAAGAGTTGGGGGAAATTCTGCAGTTGCCAGCTTCCTGGCTCCTGCTCACCACCCTCGTCCTCACATGCTGAACTCAATCTGACCAGTTTCCCCAGCGCTGCCACAATTTCACTTCTTCTTGGATGAGGCCAACAAAGCCATCACTGCCCACATTCCTGGCAACGTGCACTAGGTACTCCACCTCAGTGTCAGGGTTTAGAAATCCCTTGAAATTGTGCACACTTTCCTTCCAAAGGTTCCACCAAACACGCACCCACCGTTTCAGGCTAGGTTGCATACAATTCTACGATCCGCTCCCTGTTTAATGTAAGTGATACAGTGAGCAATATTGAAGGACTCCCAGAATGCTGTGAGATCAAGATCTGGCTCATCATGCATCATCCAGAAGGAAGGGAGCTTTGTGTAAGCAGCTGGAAGCAGTGAATCAAACCGTGATCCAGAGGCTGGTGGTGAGAGATGCAACCTCACCCCCACAGGTATGAAGTTTACGGCATGTAATGCCTTAAGAGAGAATATTATGAAAATGATATACAGGTGGTACATGACTCCAGTCAAGCTTGCAAAAATCTATCATTTGCCCGATAACAAATGTTGGAAATGTAAAGAAACTGAAGGTACATTCTTTCACCTTTGGTGGACGTGCCCAAGGATTAAGGCTTTCTGGGAGATGATATATAATGAAATGAAAAAGGTATTTAAATATACTTTTCTGAAGAAACCAGAGGCCTTTCTCCTGGGCATGGTCGGCCAATTGGTGCCAAAGAAGGATAGAACTTTCTTTATGTATGCCACGACAGCAGCAAGAATACTTATTGCAAAGTATTGGAAGACACAAGATCTACCCACTCTGGAAGAATGGCAGATGAAGGTGATGGACTACATGGAATTGGCAGAAATGACCGGCAGAATCCGAGACCAGGGAGAAGAGTCAGTGGAAGAAGATTGGAAGAAATTTAAAGACTACTTACAGAAATATTGTAAAATTAATGAATGTTAAAATGATGTTGGATGAAAACTTATGTGGTTTTTAGCTATAATGCTATAAGGAGTATGAAAAAATGGGTTATTAATAGTTAAAAGTTAATGTTACACATTATTTCAAGATTAAAGATTAGGATAAACAAAGAGGGGAAGGATTTGCTGAACTAACAAATTGAACTGGAATACAAAAAGGGAGGTGTGAGGAGGTCCGGGAAACAAGCAAATGAAAGAAAGTGATGGAAAGATGGAATTGTTTTTTATCTATTTTTACTTTGTATTTTTCTTTTTTCTTTTTTCATTTTGTAAAATTCTAATAAATATCTGTTTAAAAAAAAAAGAGACGCAACCTCACCCTTGCCATGTGCAAAGCAAAGTTCCTCAGGGTGCCTAGGAGCATTGCACACAAGCAGAAACATTTTAGGCAACAAGTGTTTCTCCTTCAGGTCTCACCTCAGGAATGAAGCATTTGTGAAGCCAGTCCAGAAATCATAGACTCCTAGAGTTGTAGAGTTGAAAGGAGTCCCACGGGTCATCTAGTCCAACGTCCTGCAAGGCAGGAATCTCAGCTCAAGCATCCATGCCAGATGGGTATTCAACCTCTGTTTAAAAACCGTCAAGGAAGAAGAGTCCACCACTTTTAAACTTTTTGTTTAAGTTCAGAAATGTGTTTGAGCTCTAAAAAGGCCCCTCACCTTTGCTGCAAAGGTTGGAGCAAGCATGTGCAGAGTGCTTCACTTTCCCCAGATCAGAAATCACACTCGGGGGTGACAGGCGGGGGGCAGGGGGAGAGAAGGTGACGGGAGGGAAAGGCAAGATGACAGCCAAGGACTGCATGAAGCAAGCCCACACTAGCACAGCTGCACTCCAGGCATGCCCAGAGGCACTCTCAACACCCCCCTGTTTTTTAAAAAATGGATTTTGGTTTGTCGTGCTTTAAAAAAAGTTTTAGGGGATCCTTTACTTTGGGAACGCCTCAGGGGCAGCTGCCCCCCAAATCAATAAAAATCAATACATATCTGAGGTTCTGCTCCCCCTAACAAAAATCCTGGCTACACCCATGAATAAGTCCTTTGCATTTTGTGGTAGGCACTTTTAAAGGAGTCCTCCATTCAAAAGAAGATGTGTATAATTTTATTTTATTTTTAAATGGCAGAAGTAGATTTTTTTTTTCAACTAAGGGGATAAATATTCTGAGGGGATAAATCTTGCCTAATTCCAAAAACAGCTGCAGTGGTTTCCCTGCAAGGACAGCCTTTACCATTTTGGTGTGGCTCAAAAGGAAACCACTGACTCTGCCCTATTGCTTTTTATGTGCAATTTGTATGAAAACAGCAAACATAAGAGACGCGCCCTTAGGTAAGAAACCTGCCAAATTACAGACCATTGATGCAGAAGTTCTTCTGTTAGGGACTTTGACAGCTCAGCTGCTGGAATCTAAAAGGGGGTTGCTTCCCTCCTTCTGGGTTTGTGGGCAATTACTTTATTATGAAAATGTAGAGGTGCCATGAGGAAAGTAAGCTGTGAAATTTCAGAAGCATCGAGGCAGGGGCCTGGGGAGTTAGAGGATAAATCTAGGAAAGACAGCTTCAGGCTTCTGTTCTGCTCAGCTGGCACCCAAAGTGCAACGCCAAATTGATAAGTGTGGGGGTGCGGGCATGAGGTACAAAGGCAGCAGGACTCTAGAGTTCTTTTCTCAAGCAAGCACCACCAGCAGAAGTAGCCAGGAGCACAGAACAGAGGAGAACAAGGTGATGTATTACTTTCCCAAAGCACTGTGATTGGAAAGCCTCTGTATAATAATTCCCTCTAATAGGTAGCTAGACCCAGAAGTCACAAAAGAGGTCTCCCTGCCCTGGCGTTCTCTGCTTTGCTTCCACAGTTGGAGGCAGCAGTACTTCTGAATACCAGTCGCCGGAAATTACAGGAGGGGAGAGGGCTCTTGTGTTTGTATCCAGCTTCCAGAATCCTGCTCTTCTTATGCTCTCAGGAGTGACGGCATGTTTTGGGGCCTCTACTCATTCTCTTGAGTGGGACCTTGAACTCCTGCCTCAAGGTCCTGTCACCATATGCATCATATCTTTTAGACTGTCCACTTTGAGGGCAGGGACTCCTGCTACTGGGTTTTGTAAGCTGCCTCTGTTGTTTTTTTTTAAATAAATTTTTATTAAAGTTTCAAAATTTTTATAACAACAAAACAATACAATACAATAATACAAGCAAACAAAAGAAAGAATAAAAACAAGTATAATTTCAACCCTTATTTTCATATAACTTACTTCCCTGACTTCCTCATACCTCCCCTTTCTGTATTCCAATTTCTAATTTTTTATTCAGCAAATCCTTTCCCTTATTTTTCCATTTGATTTTTAACATTTCTTTTCTTTTTTACTTATCCATTACAGCTGGAAACCACTTATTTTCTAAACCAACGTCATTCTAACATTCATTAATTTTACAATATTTCTTAAGATAGTCCTTAAATTTCTTCCAATCTTCTTCTGCTGTCTCTTCCCTGGTCTCGGATTCTGCCAGTCATCTCTGCCAGTCCCATATAGTCTATCACCTTCATCTGCCATTCTTC